TCTCCCTCTCCAGAGCTCTCACCAAGCTGCCTGTGTCCTGCGCAGAGAGCGCTCGCGGCACCTACAGATGTCCCGGGGGTTCATTTGCTTCCTCTGTGTGCCCTCCCCGAGGGGTCCATAAGTGCAGGACCGGAGGGAGCGCCCTGTCTTGGCCAGGCATCATACTATCGGCTCATCTCTGGGAGAGCCCAGCCATTGCGGGGAAAGACTCTCTCTTGCACGGGAATGGCCAAGCCTGCGTGCGTGGCCCCTCCTGGCTCCTGCTGTCTGCTTTCTTCTCTCCTTTTCCTCCCATTTTGCCAGGACCTTTCTCCCGAAAACCTGCTTTACAGCCCCCATGGGAACTGCCTCCTCGCTTCTCTGTCTGACTTCAGCACCAGACAGTTCCCACGGGCACTTCTCCCTTGTGTGGTGTTAACTCTGGGAGGTAAGATGGGAGTCAGAGCCCCCACAGGAGAGCCCGGCCACGCAGGGTGCAGGACTCTGGCGAGAGGCCCGCTGAGAAGTTGTAGTTCTTGCTGCTGGATTGTCTTCCCAGGAAGAGGGAGAGGGTGACCGGTCAGCGGCCACAGAGAAGACGGGAAAGCCAGGTAACCGGGACAGGGAGCAGTGTCACTGGGTGGCCACAGCCCAATACTGTCTCCACTAAAGCGTCTCTGTGGGCTCCGGCAGCCTGGGGGTAACATAGAAGACGCTGTGCGTCCTGTACTTCAGCTGTAGCGGGCAGTACAGCAGCTCGCTTTGACTGAATGCTTGTTACGTGCCGACACTGCGTACCAAGTCCACGTCACTGTAACGTCTTCACTGAGGTCCTTGGTTGGGTGGCTGTGGTCCCTCGGCCAGTGCTTTGGTGTTAAGATCGTGTGTATTTTGAGTGACATCTCAGCTTTCTGCCCCTTGACAAGAACACACCTGGAGAGACAAGAGACAGAGGCCGTATCCCAGTCTCATTCCTCTTCCCAAATGCTCCAATTTTAATGAGCATTTAATTGCAGCAGTACATTAAGCATCCTAGAGGCTTCATGGAGATTCCTGTGGGCCGGAGACCGACTTTCTCAGAGGTCATCTCAGACTCACAGCCGACAATGAGAATGAGGCTGACACTGGGGCCCCGAGGGCCACCCCGTGCTCAGAGGCTGTGCACACGCACGGGACCCAGACGCAGAGTTCAGCACCGCTGACCGAGGCCTGGCGTCCAGCAGCCTTCCCACTGAGGTCGCCTGTGTGTGTGCCTGTTTCCAGAGTGCAGGCGGTGGCAGAGGGCTAGAGAGATTGAAAGAAAACCAACAATTCAGAGCACCCCTCTCCACAGCTCTTGTCCCCAGTCCGAGCGCTGGAGCCGGGGCCTTGCCCGCTGCCGTCAGAGGACTCATCTCTGTTCAGACTCTGCTCGGTGTCCCACATGCGTGCACCCCAGACTACCCACCCATTCTCATCAACAGAGGAACATGGCGACATTGAAGGTAGACCAGAAAGCCCAGGCCTGCGTGACCTGTGCTCCCCTTGGAGAAATGGGGTGTGCTTCCTGGGAACTGGCGTTCCTCCAGCAGATTCCCCTGCAAATCAATGACAGTGCAGCCTCGCACTGAGGGGGAACAGCTGGGGTTTCATCACAGGGTGCCGCCTGCATCAGTGGACAGTGACTCACGCTAACCCCTGAAGTCCCACAGCAGCTCGTGGTGGCTGCACGGAGGTCTGTCCTTGTGGAGCGGCCCTGTCTCCGCAGCCTGGAGCCTTTGTGAGCAGGACACTTCAGGGGGCGGCATTCTCTCCTGCTCTGAATCAGCACCATCATCTCCTGCTTCTTGCAAACAGCGTGGGACTCGCTGGGCTCCTCTGCCAGCCACACAAGCTGTCCTCCAGGAGTGACCTGGCTCCTCTCTGAAACACTCCCCTGAAGACGCTTTGTGTCCTTTGCTGACCCAAAATGTCACAAGGAACCAGGGACCAGAGGTGCACAAGGGAGCTTGGAGAATCCTGTCATCATAAAGAGACTGTCCTGATGTGGGATGAGCTCCCAGATCAGATCGATCTCTTCAGCCATCAGAATACTATCTAACCTTCAGTAAAGTCACCTTGGGCTGCCCAAGACAGTCCCTGACAGATACATTGGAGACTTCTGATATTCTTTGTTTGTAAATCCTCAGGCAAGGATATTTTTCCCATTGCTTTTCAGAGCAAGTGGAAGGGGGGGAGAGAGAGAGAGAGAGAGGGAGGGAGAGAGGGAAACATCGATGTGAGAGAGAGAGACATCAACTGGTTGCCTCGCACACACGCCCTGAGTGGGGCCAGGAATTGAACCTGCAACCGAGGTACGTGCCCTGGGCTGGAATCGAACCAGGGACCCTTCAGTGCGTGGGCCGGCGCTCTAACCACTGAGCCCAGCAGCCAGGGTGACTTCTGATATTCTTGCCCTCTCATCTCCAAAGGGAGTAAAGAGGGCAGAGAGTTGGCCCTGCAGAGACATTTAAAGCTGCAGGCAGTAGAAGGGGTGGAATCACAGCACACCGAAGGCGAGACCTTGAACATACAGCGCCAACTGCCCTCAGTGTTTGCCAGCTGTCTCCCCGAGTGCATCTCTCTATCACGTTTTCCGCACACTGTCACACAGTGAGCATTCATCTCGACAATGTGGGGATCACTCCGCGGTTTACATATGATGTCGTCTTTCCAGGGCCCCTTTCGAACGACTAAATTGACTCATAAAACCATTTTATTTTAAGCAACTTTCAAAGGTTTGATTCTTAGCTTTTGCTTCTAGCAAATAAAAATGTATTGTAAATGTGATAACTGCATATTGTTACTTCTTGCTTGTTTTCTTCTTGTGAAATTATTATTCAGTTCAGCCCGTGAGTAATAACTTCATTAAGAAGTGCATTAAAATATTGGCCAAGACAGAAGAACTGTCTCCTGTGAGTAGAGGATAAGGAATTAACCAGCGTCTTTTTTTAAGCTAACAAATGGTGTGTCTTAATTTTTATCTCTTAACTTAAAACAATAGCCAGTTGAATGGCTTGATTATTTAAGGACAATGATTGCCCATAAAAAGAGAAAATGTTTGTAATAGACAAAATGTTTGCTCACATTTTTTCCCCCAAATTATTCCTACCAAGGCAAAACATAAAAATTTGGATTACTAAAGTAGGGTTGTTGTTTTTAAAAAAAAAAAGCAATAGCAAATAGGAAGAAAAGAAATTCTGCCTCTCAGCATTCTAAAGCTTATATTTCATGTATGAGAAATGTCTTCATTAACACCACCAACCATTTATAACATGTGAAGTCGCTCACCCCCAAGGACAGTGCTTCTCCTAAGGCTGCCGTCAGCTTCAGATTATCGTTTGATTCAGTGAGTAATAAGGCAGCACAGGAAAAAAATCACACGCACACATGCATGCACACACGCACACATGGACGCACTGTTATGCACACACGCACACACAGACGCACTGTTCTGCACACGCACACGGACACACTTATGCACACACACACGGACGCACTGTTATGCACACACGCACGGACACACTGTTATGCACACACACACGGACGCACTGTTATGCACACACACACACATGGACGCACTGTTCTGCACACGCACACACGGACGCACTGTTCTGCACACGCGCACAGACGCACTGTTATGCACACACGCACACACAGACGCACTGTTATGCACACACGCACGGACGCACTGTTATGCACACACACGAACACACTGTTTTGCACAGCGCGTCAGAATGGCTCCGGAGGGCAGAGCACAGTGCGGCTCCTGGAGAAAAGAGCCCCGCAGCCTGGACATTGCGCATCGCGGCCTCCCAGCCCTTCCCGGGCCTGGCCCCCCAACCCAGGCGGAGCGGGGTGTGTAGTGCACTGTGGCAAACCACTCTCAACGCTTGCAAAGGCTCTGAGGGTCAGGAGCGTCTATTAATATCCAGAGAATCACCACTAATGAGGTGATTACTCACTGCTGCTGTAATGAGAACTGCTGTAATTTGAATTTGATACGTACCACGTCTCAAAAATCATGAAGAGGTTTTTGTTATACTCTGAGGGCAAAAAAGGTCTTTCTTTCTTCCTAAAAAAATTGGGCATTAAGAATTCTGTGAAAATTAAACAACAAGAGGAATAAATTGGAGTCTATTTTAAAATGTGATATCTATAACAATAATAACTCTGCAGGAATGCAGACACTATAAGTTCTGATTCATATAATATTCTAATAAACATAACTTTTTTCTCTAAATTCATCTACCGTAAGACTTTTTGAAAAGGACAGAAGTGAAAAATATATTCCCTGGAAGGCTGCCTGTTGGTGGTGTTCACAACTCCTCCTGTCATTTAAAGGCCCTGGGGGTAAGGGGCTGCTGCCAAGGGGCTGGGTGGCAGATGGGACCATCCTCGCCCAAGGATGCCTCCCCGGGATGATGCCCACTTTGGGCCTGGCAAAGGCTCTGGAGGGGTGGTGCACACTGCCCACGTCTCTCCCGTTGTGGAATCTCCCCAGTGGCCCTGCTCCAGGGCGTGACCAGGAGGGATAAGTAGGGCCACCAACAGTCACAGCAGCGCCCTCCCTGCCTGCCCGCAGCCACCCTGCTGCCTCCACCCCGAGACTTTCCTACTTCCCTGACTTCCCTGTTAAAGGGCAGTGCCAGGGGAGTGTTGCCATAGTTGGCAGCGGGAAGCTATGAGCAAAGAATTTTTGGCCTTTTGAAAATTAGAGTCATTTAGGTCAGTTCTAAATTCATACAAAGGAAGCCACCGTTTAGGTGACACCACACATCCTTCATGGTTGCGCAGCCATCCTGGGAAAAACAGGTGCCTTCGTTTTATTTCCTGGATTTCAAAGTCAAGCAGAGGCTGTAAGAGCACATCTGTGAAAACAGCCAGGTTATCAAAGCGCATAGCACCTCCTAGATCATCACCCGGAGCTGCCCTCTGCTGTAAGGAGGACTGAAGCTACGTCTAGTCCACTTGAGCTTTAGCTGCGTCTTTTTTATTTCTAAGTGCTTTATACTTTTTCAAGATTATAAGTCCTAGAGAAAAAACATAGACGATTTTAAAGACTGAAATAAACTTTACCTTAGAAGAATGTGATATGTGTTCAACTTCTTCCACGAGGACTGAACTAAATGAGAAAACATGATCACTGAAGGCAGGCATGTGGCAAGCACAGAAATCGCAGCAGAGAACAACGTGTGTCCGAGCTCTGAAGCCACACAGGCAGCGCTGCAGTTTGCAATCTGTAGATTACAGACACTGATTCCCATCTGACCTTGGACCAATGCCACATGCAGTTTTATGAGCTCCATTTCAAGAGTAAACCCTCCAGCGTGTTCTCCTTCCATCAGGTTGTCATGGTCATCCTTGGCCCTGTGTTTCCATATAAATTTTACAACAGATGGCTAGTTTGCATGCATGCGCCCATGCACACACACACACTGCCCCCCCACTCTTACAAAGCATTGGAATTATGACTTGGAATGTGTTTAATCTATAAACAATTTGGGAAGAATCAGCTCCTTTACAACATCAGTATTAGCTTCTTCCAGACCATGAGCATGTCCTATCACTCCAATTATATTGGTCCTTGGAATTTCTATCAACAATGGTTTGGTGGTTTCCTGAGTGTAGGTCTTACATGTTTCATTACATTTATTCCCAGGTGTTTGATTTCTTTGCCGCTGTAAGTAGTATTGCACTTTAATTTTATTTTCTTAACATTTAATTGCTGGGAATTAAAATTCAATTGGTTTTTTAAACTTCTGAACAAACTTTAATACTTTTCTCTAGGGTTCACTTGAAATACTCATATACACAATCTTGTCATCATGGTCCATTTGGTTTCTTTATCTTCTGCAGATAAAAATAGCATACTTTCCCTTGGCTGACCTCTTGAGTTATAGCCTTAGCTCCTTCAAAAATTCTTATTAATATTGATGCTTTGACTTGTCCCAGTGCTGCCCCACATCAGATCTCAATTTTGATTTCAGCTCCTAACTTTAGTCTCTGCTTTGCTTGAAAATGCTGCGGGAGCTCTGAGCGTTTCATCCGTGCAGGGACATGTGATGGGGAACCTCCGAGATGGCCCCTACAGCTCCCGCCTCCTGGTATCCTGCTCTCCTGTAATAGTTCTACCTTTTCAGTGTGGGTGGGACCTGGTGACTCACTTCTAACGAATAGAATATAGCTAAAATAAAATAATGGTGTGGTACTTTCAAGGTCATATTAGCAGAAGACTGGCTTCCGCCTGGATGCCTGTCTCGATCACCTACTCACACATTCTGACCGAAGCACCCGCCAGGCTATGAGCTGCCCTACGGACAGGCTCACATGGCAACGAGCTGGGGGAGGCTGCTGCCAACAGCCAGGGAGGAGCTGAGACCTCAGTGCAAACGTCTACAAGGACAGAATCCTGCCAACCCCACGTAAGTGAGCTTGAAATTGACCCTCCCTGGCCAGGCCTTCAGATGCGATCACAGCCATGGCCTTCATTTTGGTGACAGTCTTGTTAGAAACTATGGCAGAAGCGCCCAGCTAAGCCACCCAGAGACACCTGACCCACAGAAACTGGGAGATGGTCAATGTTTGCTGGCTTAAGCCATGAAACTTTGGGATTGTTTTTTACTCAGCAATAGATAACCAATACAGAGTATAATTCACAGAGTATATGGTTCTTAACAGGCTGATGCTACTTCTCCTGGTCTCCCAGGGACAGCACAGCCCCTGCCTCATGCACAGCACTGAGCCCTTGGAACTCTTGCATTTGTCCAGACTGACCACGATGCTCCCACAAATGGCCAGAAGATAAGAATGAAGGAACAGAATTCCACCAAGGCGGAAGGGCTCTCATGTCCCTCCGTCAGAGTGACAGCCCCGCTCTGGCCTCGCACACCTAGGCTTTGACCACCGAAGTAGGTGTCTGTGATTCTCTGTGCAACTTAAGAACGAACCTAGGATCACTCCTGGGACTCTGGCCTGGACAGCCCAGCACAGGGGAGACACTGGACAGCACTCAGCTTAGGGCAGGATAGTGGTCAGAAGGTGAAGGCATGTGAGGCAATTGGGCCTCTCAGGTTTAAAAAGTGGGCTGTAATTTAAATCATTTAAATGCAGAATGCAGCTTCCTATTTTATTACCTGTGTCAAATTCCTGGGAAACGTCGCGATACTCGAGGGCTTTTCCATATTCCCTTCCATCTGGGGTTCTTCGTACATTCCTAGCTGAGCAGACTCTCAAGCAGTATAATTTTCAAAGTTTGTCCTGTAAACCAAAGCAAGTTTTGGTCAAATGTAAGTTATATAAGCCATTTTTTCCTTTTTCGTTTTAGCCATTTTAAACCATTTTTGTATCATTTTACTCTCCAGAAAGACATTTAGGGTTTAAGAGTCACATTTATAAATACTAAATATCACAATAAAATTAACAACTTTCGTGTGCTCCGTTTTAGCCACTGCAGTATTAAATCTGCATTGGCAATAAGTAAGTTCCTCTATCTGAGGATGAGCACACACGCAGATCCGCAGGCACCGCGCTGGAACTGGTGGCTCAGTTTCCCGTGGACTCGGACTGGTGCCCGGCCCTGCTTCCTCCTGACGGCACAGCCTTCAAGGCCGAGCCCCAGCTTTCCTGTCTGCGCAACGGCAACAATATCGTCTGCTGTGAGCACGTCTGTTTCTCCCCAAAGTCTGTGTTACTATACGAAGTCCTGATTCCCGCTGTGATCATCTAGAGGCAGGGCCTCTGGGAGGCGATGGGTCCTGAGGGTGGAGCCCTCACAGCGGGTTAGAGCCCCGCAAGGAGACCGTGTGGAGGGCTGTCCCTCTCTGCCCCGCTCCTCTCCACGCCCGGCAGGCAGCTGTCTGTGTGCCTTGGAGAGGCCTCGCCAGAGCCCAGCCCAACTGGCCCCTGGTCCCGGACTTCCAGCCAGTCTCTCACCTCTGGCCTGGCTTCACATTGCCAAGTGCGGGCCAATCCCTCCAGGGCAGGAAGCTCCATTTTTTTGGCTGGTCACTGTCCTTTGTCATCCTCTCTTTTTGCCCGGGGGTCTCATTCAGACTTCTGTTGGTTTCTTCTCCCAGTAGGTATTCTAAGAGCCTCTTCCTATTGTTAATTTCAGTTTCAATTAAGTTCTATTTCGAGTTCATTAAGATTCTCTAGAAGATTTATCAACTAATAATTGAAACCATTTTAAACCATTTTTTGTATTTTATTCTCCAGAAAGATATTTAGGGGTTTAAGAGTCACATTTATAAATACTATATATAGTTACTCCCATAGTATAACTGTTTAGAAGTCAAGATTCCAACAAACATTAAAATGGGTTTTAATTATAACATGCTAATCATATGAGATCCGTAGAGTCAGTGTGTCCATTTCCATCTTCATAATTTACCAGAGGCCTTAAGGAAATGACTGCTGGGACTGGGGGGATCGCAAACTTCTGGCCCTCTAGAGGTCAGCACCACACTGCCCAGTCTCTAAGGCTGACAGTCCTCTTCAAAGATAACACATTACTACAGCCTACCAAAGTATTTCTAAGGAGAGATGACAGCTCATGATCCGTGTCCCTAAACAGTGCACCACAGTTGAAGCTGAAAAATTTACTGCACGCAAAACGCTGTGGATACTAATGTTTTCATAAAAACAGGAAGCGGATCTAAGTGATGCTAACACAGATGGTCTGCAGTTTTATCGAATTCATATTAACACAGATGGTCTCAATTGTCAATGTTTAATTTCCCCAGGTATATTTTAAATATGTGTCTGTCTTTACCACCATCACTTTCTCTTGCCTTGCCTGTAAGCTGATCTGTCTAGACGGCTAATGTTCCTGCTCCACGAGGCCGCCAGAGGAACTTTGGGGTCCAGATGTCACACCCACACTGAAGTCTTTCGTGTTACCACGCTGTCCTGGGAGAGCCTCGTTTCACTCGCTGCACCCAGCCACAGTGGGCTCTTGGCTCCTTGAACTGCCACGTCCTCTCCACCAGGATGCTGCTCTCTGGACTCTCTTGTCCGGTTAATTCCCGCCTACCCTCAGATCTCATCTCGCTCACCTTTCCTCAGGAAAAGCCTTTGCTGACTCCACCAAGACAAGTGCAGCACGTTCTCACAGCTCCCCACATGCCTCCTGGATAGTATTTAAATGTTTATGAATAACTGATTTAATGCCTCTCTCCCCCACTCGGCAGCGGGCCGTGTGAAAGTGGGGACGTGACCTGTTTTGTTCTACTTCATGCCCTGAGCGTGCCTGGCCTCATACACAGACGCAGCTTATAAAAATGAATGTTGCAAACTTAACTACCCAACTCTTCACATTAAGCCGCAGGGGTTCTCTGTTTTGTTTTCTATCTATGTTGATAATCCACCCAGTTTAATTGCTTTCACCTTCAGAAACACCTTTTCACTCTTAATTTGAGGGCACACATTCTTGTAGCTGTGAAAAAGAAGTGTTGCTCATAAATAAGCTACTAAGTGCAGCGTTCCCCCCAGATACGATAAATGAAAGAGAAAAGCACTAAAACTACATGAATTAAGAGGAAAGAATGTCACCGGAACAGGCAAACCCACATATAAATTTAAGTGGATATATGATATATTTTTTAAAAGGCCTTCTAAATAAATGGGGAAATATGAACTATTTGGTTAATTTATTGGCAAAACTAGCTGTTTTAGGGGAAAATGAAAGTCGATCCCTGCCTCATGCTGTTCACGATACATTTTAGGGGGTTAAAATTTTAATCCTCTAAGTATAGCATTACTAGGAGATAATAACCTGGGGGACAGGAAAGGCTTCTCAAACCCGACACACGGAGCAGACACGGAGCACGCAGGGCTTTCTAACACGGGGACCAGGTCCTGTGTGAGACTTACGAGGATGCAGGGTACTGAAGTTTATGTCCACAAACTGGCTGAGGGGAGCTAACAGTTGGGTCTGAATGCCAGTGATGACAAATGGGCAGAATGGACAGATAGACAATCCTAGAAGTGTTTAGGAGCCCGGTATGGGGTGGGGACAAGCAGGTGAGTCTCTGGGACTGAGTGGGGCCAGACCAGGACGTGCCTGGGTGGGCAGACTGAAGGTTTTGGACTTTCCCCTAAGGGTGTTGGCACTGGGAGAGACACACCAGATTTTTCTGGTGTGGATTTACTATAGGGGGCCTCATGCCTGAACCCAGGAGCACACAGGTGTCATATGTAAAGTCGTACACCTGAACTTTATATGCTATTAACCAATGTTACCCCATTAAATTTAATTTTTAAAATGAAAAAAATGGCTTCAGGTCCCATGACAGGAAACAAACAAAAAAGCCACATGTTTTATTTCCGTACACTGACTTGTGTTTTCACAATGAGATCCAGTTGAAACCTTTGGTATCTTTTATTATAGTGAAAAATACATTTAAAAAACAGAAATTTCTTCTTTCTTTATGGATTCAATGGAAAGGAAATTAGTACTAGATCCTTCTTCCTTGATGTCAATTATTAGTGTATTTTTAAAATCGATTTTTCTGTATAAGTACTTTTAGTAATGCCCATCCTGATTAAAAGAGATCACACTTATAGTAAGGAGTCTTACTGGTATATCAACTGCCAACTTTAGCATGAAAATTGTGGTTAGATAATCTAAGCCTCCAAATAATTAACTTGCCTATTCAACAAAATTCACTGAACAGCTATTATGTGCCAAGTGCTATTCTAGTTGCTGGAAATAGAACAGCAAGCAAAACAGACAATAACTCATGCCCTTGGGGAGCTTATTTTCCTGCTATGAAGTGTAAATAATTCAGGAGGAAAAAATAAAGTGTATCTATACTAGATGGCAATGGGTGTTCAGGGGAAATGAGGCAGGAAGCGGGGACAGAGAGAGATGCAGTAACTGACGAGCAGCCAGGGGAGGCCGCAGCCACCAATTACACGAGGAAATACCCGAAGGGGTGAAGAAGTGAGATGGGAGGGTAACTAGCAGGCAAACGTTCCTGGAGGGAGGGAACAGCACATACAAGGCCCCTGACTTGGAGTGTGCGGTCATGCCCAGAAACAGCAGGGGCCAATGTGGCTGGCGCAGGAGGAGCCAGGCACAAACTGAGGGGGAAGGCTAATGGAACCTGGGTGGCAGGCAGATGCCTGGGTCCTTGGGAGCCATATTTTGAGGATTTGGGGTTTTAGTCTGAGATGGAAAGCCTTCAGGAGGTTTTGAGCAAAGGGATAACTGTTCTGAGTTTTTAAGGGGATAACTCTGGCTATTGTGCTGTGACTGGAATGAAGAGCAGAGCAGGAGAACAGAGAGGAGGCCAGGGCTATGATCCAAATGAAATAATTTCTAGTAACTTTAGTGTTAGACAGACACAAGCAAAGCAAGAATGAAGGGCCAGGTACAGAAACTCCCCAGGGCAGGAAGCCCCACATGCCTAGTAAGGAGCAAACCTGGGAAAACAAGACCCTTGTCCCCAGGGGACCTTTCCTCCCCCAGCACATTCCTGGTCGTGTGGTTTAGACCCCTGAGCGTTTCCTCCCTAAAGATAACATCCAGGTCTCAGTTGTATTTCAGCTCCAGGCCCAGAAAAGCAGCAAAACCAGACAAGTGGCGCAGTGGCTGCCTCAGGACCAGCCACACTGACTAATGACCCCCTTGTCCTGGCACCGAGCAATCCATGGAGGCCAGGACCCTGAAAAAGTACCCGTCTCCAAGGCCCCCTTCTCTCTCCGACTTCTCAGTGAGACAGAGCAGCCCAGCCTGGGCTCTCCTGTTGCTTCTATGCCCCTCCTTGTTTCACTGTCCTAAGTGTATTTTTGCTGCCATCACGGACCCAATACCCTTTGGCTCAGTGATGTGTAGTCCTTCCTGTTAGGTTTGGACAAAAACTTAATGTTCTTGAGGGCTCACCCCTCCCCAGCATACGAATGTAACTTTTAGATAAATTCATTTTGCAAGCCACATTCTGTTCCTTACACTTGATAACTTTCACTCCCTGCATGAGAAAGTAACTTTTAGATGATCTCAAGCAACAACCTGTTTCTTACATTCAATAACTTTCTATTCCTGCCAAAGTTCCCTCCCTACACCCTATAAAGAGACTTCCTCCCTACCACACAGGGCTGATGCCACTCGGAGCTCAGCCCATCTGTATTCAGATGCTTTAACCATCTGGATTCAGATGCCCTAATAACATTGCCTTTACCTTCTCACCTGCCCTTGTGTGTTCCCCCTCAGCAAGCCTAACACTTCCCTTTGGATATCCCCCATCTCCCACCCCCTTTTCTTTAAATTAATTCAAATTTCCTTCATTTACCCTCTGAGATGGCTGTTTAGCCTACCTGCGCACCACTGACTTTAAGCTTTCATTTAGGACTACTGCCTTAAGGAGGTTCAACTTCAGAAATAACTTATTCTCTTCCTTGTTTAAATAAGAGAAATATTTTAACTAGTCCAAGATGTAGATGTCATGAGCAAGGGAGAGTCCCAAAGAGAGTCATGCACACACATTTATGTCTTTCCACAATGCCAGGATTATTAAGGGAAACCTCCCAATAAGCCAATAGAGTCACGCAGGTTCCACACAGAGAGGGGGAGCATATGCCATAGAACGAGCTGAGCTGGCGCCTGGTGTGGAGTCTTGGAGCTCTGAGTTCTCAAAGCCCATCAGGGGCTTAGGTCCCACTCATATCAGTATCCACATGGAGTCCTTATTTGAGTGTCCAGATGCCATAGTTTTGGGCATTCCCAGCCCCTCCTAAGGGCATTTACTTTACACCCCATTGCCTCAGTCTTGACATAGCACTTGACATAATGTCATGGTTGATAGTGACTCCATATTAGATTGTCAAAGGTGTCCAAAAAGTCTGCTCTGCTCTGCTCTTGCTCTATACAATAGATTAAGAGTACAAATATAGACTAAACAGTGTTTGCTTTAAAAAAGTACACATTTGTACCCAGCTGGTGTTGCTCAGTGGTTGAGAGTTGACCTATGAACCTGGAGGTCACAGTTTGATTCCTGGTCAGGGCACATGCTGGGGCATTCCTGCTCAGTCCCCAGTGGGGGGGCATGCAGGAGGCAGCTGATCAATGACTCTCCCATCATTGATGTTTCTAGTGTTGTAGGAAGCGGGAATGGCACTGGGTGTTAGTCCNGTGTTGTAGGAAGCAGGAATGGCACTGGGTGTTAGTCCAGTGGGGTCAGACGGGACCTGCGTTCAGCAACCTCAGTACTTGGGTTCTGGCTAGGAAAGAATTCAGAGCCAAGACCCAAACTACAAGAGAACATGTATTCCATTAAGCACAGAGGTGGAAGAAGTAATTCCTAGAAGAAATGGATTTAGGAGACAAGTTACAGAGGCAATGGAAGGACCCTAGGAGCTTGGGACTGAGGAAGCTAATTTAGTGCCTGGGGGTGGGGGAGGACCAAAAGGGAGAGGAATGGGCATGCCCCCTGGAGGTAACTCCCCAGGGCCTCCATCCTAAGGGTTTTAAGGGAGGAAATTTTAGGGGCGGTCCCAGGGGAAGATCTTAAAAGATTCAGCAGCTTTCCAGGTGTGTCTTTTCAGGGTTGTGGTCTCCACTGATTGATTGGTTGGCACCAGGGTGGGAGAGGGGGTTGGGGGTGGCGGAATGGGGCATCATTCAATGCAGCTGGTCCTGAGTTCAGCTGTGGTGGTTGTTGCTTTTCTGGGCCTGGAGCTGAAACACAACTGAGGCCTAAATGTTATCTCTAGGGAGGAAACATGGGGGGGGGGTCCAAACCACATGACCAGCAATATGCTAGGGGTGGAAAGGCCACCTTGGGGGCGAGGTCCCACCCTACAATTGTCCTTTGCTAGGCATCCAGGACTTTCCACCTGATGACCTTCTGTACCTGGCCCAGTGTCCTTGCTCTGCTCATGTCTGTCTGCCTATCACACTAGCTCTTGCTCCCTTTCCCTTCCTCTCTCTGAAATCAATGAAAACATTTAAAAAAATAATAAAAAATAAAAAGTACACATTTGTTGTCTAATAATACATCAGTATTAAAACTCAGTTATGTTTCCTTTATTGTCATAACCATTTACAATTACCAGTAATTTAAGTAACTAAGATAAATACTGTAATTATGTAGGCTTCATTATGTGAATGTTTAAAAGTTTTCTTCCCCAGAGTTCTAAAATTTTATATTAACTTGATTTATTATTTTAATTTTACTTTTTCTATTTCATTTTTAGATTCAGAGAATATCAAATTACTGCATTATAACTTGGAACCATATTGCAAAATATTTAAAATATATACTGTGGACAAAAAGGGGCCACATGCTAACCTGACAAGCTCAGGGGAGGCCAGCTTTTTGGCCTTGCAAACTCAGGGACCTAAAGTAACCACAAAAGATGGTCTGAAATTAAAACTTGTTCTTAAACTAAAGCAGTTTAGGGTGGGTAGTCATGTCCTAAGGCAGTATTTTTCCCTGACAAAGGTTAATCTTCACCTCAACTAAACCCTCCTTTTTGCATCTAGAATTACGCATCTGATGAGCAGGCCTTTGCAAAAACAAAGTAATTTCCCTTTTCTGGACCCCTCAAAGCACAGAGCTGAGACCATTATCCCCTCATTATTACTGTTACCAGGTTAATGGTTGACTATTAACTCACCTGCACCCACCTAAGTGAAAGAAGTGTCTAACGTTTTTACTTTTTATCCACTCCCAGCCCCCCCCATCCTGTTACCCATGGATTTCGGGTGACCCCCGCTGTCTCCTCTTCGGACTGTGCTGCATAAAACAAGGTGCAAAACCGCCCTTCTCCGGAGCATTATCTCAACCCACTGACATTCTGCGTCCCAAAATTTGCCGAGTTTGGGTCAAATAAACTCACAAACGTTCTTCACAGGTTTGAATGTTTCTTACGTTGACATTAAAAATCTTTGACCTAGACCAATTTTTTTTCAGCTGTGTAGCCCAATTGTTAACGTGTAGCCGCCGTTTTCCCCTCTCCGAGGCCTTCAGTATCCTCCTCCCTCGTATCTGTTCTTTGCTCTGTAAGGCTGGTGTCACTTTTGTCACAGAAGGTTAACTGTGGACGCGGGGACTCGGCGGCAGCCCGGTCCCCGCAGTTACCAGCATCCCGCACGGGGAGTCGGGACCCGGCGGGGCCCTGGGCCCCCGCGCCGCCCTCCGGGCCTGAGGCTCCGGGCCCAGCG